GAAAAGAAAGGAAGGAAGGAAGGAAGGAAGGAAGGAAGAAAGAAAGAAAGAAAGAAAGAAAGAAAGAAAGAAAGAAAGAAAGAAAGAAAGAAAGAAAGAAAGGCTAGAACATCCCCAGGGAACATGACAGAAATGATTCCATTTGCACTTTGATATAAGTCACCAGCGTAGGCCCAACTCTACAGCCCTGACTAATCACTCACTTTCCTTGGGATTTCCATCCATACTTGGAGATTTAGCATTCCAAACAGATCCGTAAAGCTCAGCTCATGGCTTTGCCCTTGGTGCCAATGAAGAGGAAAAGACAATTTCTAGAGTTTCTCACTTTCTATAACAGAAAGTAGGTACTTGCGCTCAACAAAACAGAGGCTCTCTGCATCTAGGAGAGGTTTGAATTCTTAACTGAAAAGAAAGAAAGGTGCCTATGAGCTGCTGTCCACACATTTAACTGTCTTCATCCAACTGTGGGTAAACACTATTGTGTGGAATCCCATGGCAGTATGTGGAACATTCCACGGTTCTAATAATGATAATTGAGAAAGGAAAATCCCATGCTGGTATGGAAAACCACTGCCATCTCCAAGGTGAAGGAAGTCCACTGTAGTTGGCCACATATACCCTGCCCCCCCCACACACACACACACACTGACCAACACACACACACTGAATACAATACAGGAGTGAGCATATCCCACATGGTGTGCCTCAGGAGAAGGCAAGCTTCCACATCTTGAGATGGGAACTGAATCTGGAGATGCCTGGACATCCTCTCTTCCCTTCAGAGTAGCTAGGACAAGGATGTGTGAAGTTACAGTATCAATCCATATCGTCTTACCCAAGCCTGCTTCTTTTTCGTAATAATACATTTGAAACTCACCCAAGACAGCAGTCTAAATCGTGATTGCTGTTTTGTAGAAGCCATCCTGATGTTCACAAATACAGCGTGGAGACTGTTCAGTGGTACCCTCATGACACTGGCATGTTCACATCCAGCTCGTTTGACAAAACTCTGAAAGTATGGGATACAAACACATTGCAGGTAAGAACATTAACACCTCTCCAAATTGCTTTGTAGGATAATGGAAAATTGAGTCTCAACTGTATTGGATGATCTTTTTGCTAAGATATTCTGAGTGTCAGAATAAGGAGAGTTATACCCTGGTTAACTAATTTCTGCTGATTAGCTCTGTGACAATGGGCAAATGCCAAAAGAACCCTGCGTCTTTGTTCTCTCATCTGTAAATGAGGGCAGGATGGCACCTTCTAGAATGGTGCCATCTATTCTAGATGGCTTATTTACCAACATACATAAAATATTTAGCACAATGCCTAGCACATAATTAACACACAGAACCTTAGCAAATACCTTTATTATTTGAAAACTTTGAGCTTAGGAATAGAATTAGAACTTTTCCCCTCTTGATCTAAAAACTTGCAGGAAAAGAAAGATTTTAAAGTAGAGTTTAATAAAAGTATAGATGGTTGAGATGAGAATTATATGATAATTAGTGAAATTTTTCAGTACTACCCTTTTCTCTTGGCTTTCTATCTGCATACCTGTAAAATCTCTCTATAGGAATGTGACATCTCTTCAGAGTTGGTATTTCCTGTGTTCTTGTGTTCTGTGCCAGCCAGGGTTATGTAGCAAGACTCTGTCTCAAAAAACAAAAGCCAACAAAACATGTGGTAAAGATTAAATGTGTGTCATGAGCTTCCTGTTTTGACCACTCTGGGTTATCTTGAGGTCCAACCAATCCTCCATTGGCAGAGCCAGCAAAGTCCTGTTTAAAGAGTTTGAAAAGCTTCGAAGGAATCTAGAACCCTATAGACTGGTTCTCAAAGAATAGAAAGATCTAGAAAAGTAACTTCAACTTGATAAATGTTGCACTCTTGTTGTTTTTATATACAGCAAGAGGCTGAGAAGGCAGGACTCGGATAGCTTTTATGAGACAGAGTAGCAGTTGGTCATGGTTTATATACCTATAATTCTAGCATTTGGGAGGCTAAGGCAGGAGAGTCATGTGTTTGAAGCCAGCCTGTACTGTCCTGTAAGTTCAAAGCCAGCCTAGGCTATAGAGCAAAACCCTGTCTCAGAGCAGCAGCAGCAAACACACACACAAAAATGGTTCCCAGTTCTGGAATGGGAATTAGGTAGTTTATTGTGATCAAAGGGTTTGCAAGAAATGCATCTGGAGATAATCTAGGAACTGGTCTATTTGATTCTGATTCCGGAGTGAGTCTATACCAAAAGTAGAGGTTTGCGAGTCAGTAACATTCAGCTGCAGAGAGGAAGCTTATATAGAACAAAACACTACGAGTAACCAGGGTTATAGCATAGAAGAAGTGGCAACAAACTCTGCAAAGTAATGGAAAGGAAAAAGACTGTTTCTAGGAAAGTGGGGTGAACAGCTGTATTGGTCAGCTTCCTAGCTGACAAACCATGTAGAATAACGAGGCTATCAGTGACAGTGAAAGAGTAGTGTAAATAAGAATAATGAAACAAAAGTAAGATTGCAGTGAGTTAAGAAATGGTAACTGGGTCCTAGAGAGATTGTTCAGTGGTTAAGAGCACTGGCTGCTGATCCAGAGGACCCAGGGTTCATTTCCCAGCATCCATATGGTATCACACTATAGTCTGTAAGTCTGTAAGGGGATCTGGCACCCTCACACAGACATGAATGCAGGCAAAACACTAGTACACATAAAATAAAATCAAATAATTAAGAAAAGAAGAAATGGTGATTAAAGATTGCTAAATTTGATGTGAAGAAGAGGAAAGAAAGTTGAGGGGTGGTATTTCTTTATTTTATCTTGGGGATAGGTACTAAGATGAAGAGCTTTCAGTGCTTCCAGGAATGAGCCAGAAAGGACAGTAGTTAGAGATAACTCATAGTTAACCTGTAGATTGAAGTTGCTCACAGTGTTGAGAGGCTCTGAACTTGTGAAATGGGGAAGGACTATTTCTCCATGATGGAAACGAAGAGCAGAAAGAAAGCTTAAGCAAAACTGACTGGCTGCATAAGAGATTGGGAGATTTCTGATTCAGTGGCTTTTATTTTCTCTTTGAAGTAAAAGATCTGATCACCTGTTGTGATTGCGTAAGGATGTTTGTGAACAGTGGAGAGCTGGAAATGCTGCAGGATATTGCAGACAACTAGTAAGACTCTGTACGGTGGGCTGGCAGTCCTTACTAAAGTCTACCTGTAGTGAGTGCTCTTCTAGTGAGGCCAGTCTGCTAACTGCGGGTTTTGCTGAGTAAAGCAGAGACTGACCAAGAGTAAGCTGTGGGCAAGTCTGACTCAAGGTGTCTTGAAAATAAAGTGATATTAAGGATGCAAGCAATGGGGCTGAAGAGATTGCCCAGCAGTTAAGAGCACTGGCTGCTATTCCAGAGGTCCTGAGTTCAATTCCCAGCAACTACATGGTGGCTCACAACCATCTGTAATGGGATTCAATGCCCTCTTCTGGTGTGTCTGAGACAGCTAAAGTGTACTCATATAAATTAAGTAAGTAAGTAAATAAATAAATAAATAAATAAATAAATAAATCTTAAAAAAATATAGGCATCTTCATTAGTTGCTAGTGGCTGCTTTGACACTACCATAGCAGAGATGTCTGGCTGTCTTTGCTCATTGAAACTGCAGAAAAGCTTGCCAACCCTTTTGTACTTCAGTGTGGCAGTAGATTAAAAAGGTGGGTATTTTATGGCTTTGGGGTAGAGGTCTTGACAAATAGGATAGCAGCAAACAGAGAGAGTGGTACTGGCTGTGCTGGACTTCACAGTGCAAGCTGGGGAGGAAGAGTGGACAGGAAGGAATGCTAGGGAATCCGGGGCTTGTCCCAGAGTTCTAGGGTCGCTGGTGAAGAAAGCCAAAAGGAGATACTGTGGTTACAGATAGCTGTCATTCATGATTTCATGGGCATGTGATTGAATCATGGATGAGAACTGAGGCCAGCTGCCTCTGAGAGGCAGAGCTAGCTAGCTCATTGATGGAGATGCTAACCTGCTAGAGAGGAATGGTGAGCCAAAGGCTTGTCTTTCCTTAACTTCTGGGACTTGTCATGTTTTAGTTGATAAGTTGCTAACAGTCAATTAAGAGTATGTTTAAGTTATGGGAAGGAGAATTATTGCTTTGGTTTTACATGTTTATTTGTTTGTTTGATCGTCTCTTGATTAACAGGCTGCAGATGTGTTTAATTTTGAGGAAACAGTTTACAGTCATCACATGTCCCCAGCAGCCACCAAGCACTGTCTGGTAGCAGGTGAGTTCACATCCTTTTGCCTTTTAGCATATGGAAAGCTCTCCCGTTTTAGAGTTAGTTATGTTTGACAGAAAAACTTTAACCTAGGTAAAGGTTACTTTAAATACTGTATCCTAGTGTAGGTCTAGCACGTGCTAACAGCTAGGATTCAAAGAGTGTGAGAGTATCGGTTCTCTCTCTCCCCCTTTCTTTTTTCCTTTATTTTGCTTCTTTCAGGGAGCCTGTGTCTGTTCTCTGAGGAGTCCTTTTAAATCACTAATCTTTCAGGTATTTTTATATGAACAAAATATGGTTCCTCAGTGGGTGGAGCTGTTTGCTGCCAAGCTTAATGTCTAGAATTTGATCCTGGAACACACAAGGTAGGACAGACTGACTACATCAGGTTGTCATCTGATCCCAGCATGCCCTAACACACACACACACACACACACACACACACACACACACACTACATAATTGTATTTTTTATTGGATATTGTATTTATTTACATTTCAGATGTTATCCCCATTCTCCCCCCTCCATAAACCCCTTATCCCATCCCTCCTCCTCCTTTTTGCTTTTATACCATTTTAATTTCATGCAAGTGTTAAGGTCAGTTCTAGGTTGAGGAACTAACAACACAATAGATGCAAATAGTCAAGGAACAAGCAAAACAATACACACAAATAGTCAAAGAACAAGCAAGGCAATAAACAAAATTTGGTGAACACTCCTGTGATCACTGTTTCTAAGGGATTATCAAGATGACCAAAATACCTGAGCCTACTTCCCTGTCCTAGCCCAAAGTCATTTTCATGCCTGAAGCCTACTTCGTTGTTCTAGCCTAATATTTAGATTCCTGCCTGAAATTACTTCTTTGTTCTAGCCTAATGTCAGATTCCTGCCTGCAGCCTATTTCCTTGTCCTTGGCCAGTGTCAGATTCCTGCCAGGCAGCCCCAAAAGCTGTCCATATCTCCCCTTTTTTTATTGCATAAACAAGAGCCTGTCTTAGGTCGTTCTGATAAATGTATTTTTTTAATTTGATAATTTTTCCTGTTCAACACAATCAAAGGAAAACTTCTTTCTCTTTAACATTGTTATGGAAAGGAAATAGGTATTTATATGAATCCTGCAATAGCAACAAAACATTTATGTATAAAGAAGAAAAACTGTTAACCTAATATTAGGTGTCTGGTCTTAGGCCTCCATTATTCCTGGTACTGCATGAGTCTCCTCACAGCTGGACATCAAGCAGCTGCTTCTTCTCTAAGAGCCAGACACTAACTGATTTTCAAGATCTGTTCAGCCTGAGTCAGTTGCTATGACGCTGTATGTAGGAATTGGAGGGATAGCAATAGCGTTAACTTACAGAAACTGCTGTTGAACTTGAATGGTTTCATGAGACAACATGGCAAAGATACATACCCTTGGAATGCTGATGGAGGCTCCCTTGTGATATTTCACTGTAGTTACTTCTCGGTGTCTCTGCACAGCCTACAGCCTACACAGACAGACTGTTCTGTTGTAAGACTGGGCAATGGAGCAGAGGTCACAGCACAGGTCTGCTGTGAGTGAAGTGCAGGCACAGGTCCATTTCTCAGTCATAACCAATAGAGACAGACACTTTAGATGTTTGTAAATGGATTATGGCCTGCCCTGTCTATTTCTGTATAGAAGACTGAAAATGCTGTGATTGTTAGTGGTAATTTGCTGAGATCTTTTTTATAATGTATAATATTATATAAAAACTTTTCATGGTTTTTCTTTAACAGTTGGAACTAGAGGACCCAAAGTACAACTTTGTGACTTAAAGTCTGGATCCTGTTCTCACATTCTACAAGGTACTTTTGAATGTATATGTATATGTATATGTATATGTAGTTGATATAAATATGTATGTATATTTATATCAACTACTACTTTGAATAAACTGTTCAGTAAAAAAACTGTTCAGTATTTGTGATGACAAATAATGTGTTCTTTGTAAATGACTTGACTGATGCATTCTGTGATAGTTGTTAAGTCAACAGAGAAATGAAGGTCCTTCTGTGCATTATTCTTGTAAAACTGAGCTGTTGAGACGTTTCTGTGAACAATGACTGCAAGGGGAACTCAGAGGAAGTAGGAAATAGAAAGCCCAGCTCAGAGCTTTGGCTGTTTGTACATGAAAACCATTAAATGAGTGAAAAGACTCACATCATGGAACATGTTTCATGACTCCTGTTGATAACTCGGCTAATCAGACAACTTTGTTCTTCAATATCTTTTCTCTTCAGTACAGACATTTTAGAAAAAAGTGATAAGGCAGTACTCTGGAGAAGTACATTAATATAAATAACATCATTAATTTTTAATCCATATTATTTCATTTAATTCTAAAAAATGAAATGATGGAATGTAACTCAGAAATGCACGTTTTTATCCATCTCTGAGAAACATAATAAATATACCAGAAAAACTTAATGGAATGAGTAGCCTTTTTAAAAAAGGTTTATTTAATAATTTAATGTATATGAGTATATGCACCACAAGCATGCCTGGTACCCTCGGAGGTCAGAAGAGGGTGTCAGCTTCCCTGGGACTGGAGTTACAATTTTGAACTGCCTTGGGGTTGCTGAGAATCAAACCCCAGTCCTCTCAAGAATAGCAAGGCTCTTAACCATTGACTGATTCTACAGCCCAGTGGGTAGTATTTTTGATATTATTATCATCATCAATAATTTCAGTTGATTTAAAAGCTAGGCAGATGAGATGTCTGATTTGAATAGTTCCATTAGGTATCTACAAATTTGTCGACTCAGTTTTTTAAAAACAACTGTTAACACTTTTTTCAGAGAGGAGCTTTTTCTTTTTTCTGTTACAACTTTCTAAAAAAAATAAAATATTCTTATTTCTTTAAAATACTTATTTTTATTGTCATGTATGTCTGTTATAGAGATAGGTACCTCAGTGATGTGAACTGATTGATACAAGTTAGTAATTGTATCTCCCCGAAGCAGAAGCTAGTCAGTCTTTCTACATTACAAGTCCTGGGTTAAAGACTTCCCAGAAACCTTACCTCAGTCTGTAAGTGAAGACACCACAAGTTTAAGAAGTGATCGTATCCACTCACTACTATTCATGCTTGCTGTTTTCTGAGTCACGCAAGATTACTGCCTTCCTGCTCTGTTTTGTTTTGTTTTAATTATTTTACAAGACTTTTCACTTGTATTTGCAGGTCACAGACAGGAAATATTGGCAGTTTCCTGGTCCCCACGCTATGACTATATCTTGGCAACAGCAAGGTAAAGTGCAATTTATTTGGTTTTACTGTTAATATTAGTAATTAGAAGCAATTTGAGAGGTTACATTTTCATAAGATACAGATTTTGTCATATATAGTTAGTACCTGAAAATGAAATATTAAGTAACAAATTTCAATCCATATCAGCAAAGAAAATATTCTTTGCCTCCTTTTGTCTTTTTTGTTTTGTTTTGTTTTTTGTTTTTTCGAGACAAGGTTTCTCTGTATAGCCCTGGCTGTCCTGGAACTCACTCTGTAAACCAGGCTGGCCTCAAAGTTAGAAATCCTCCTGCCTCTGCCTTCCAAGTGCTGGGATTAAAGGCATGCGCCACCACTGCCCGGCTCTCTTTGCCTCCTTTGGATGTGTGCAGGTGCACATGTATGTGTGTAAGCCAGAGGATGACACTGGGGTTGTCATCCTCCACTGGATTTATTAAGCTCTCCACTGAGCCTTGAGCTCATTGGTTCAGGTAAGGACTGGTTTGTTTTCCTCTTCCCAGCTCTGAGATCACAGAAGCACACAGCACTTGGCTTTGCAGGGAACCTATGCTCAAGTCCTCAAGTCTTCACACTCATGCTGCAGGCTTCTTCTGTGAACTGTCTACCCAGTGCCCTCCTTTACGTGATATCCATCTTGAAAGCGTTCACCTTTGAGAACCCAGAGAAAGCAAGAGAATCTCTAGTGATATGAATCAGCTCACACTGCTAGCAACACAATTGTGGTGTTCTCCTATATGGAAGTGTAACACTACACACTTAAGAGTGACATTTTTCATTTTTCTTAACCCAAAATTTTTGCTCTGATATAAAGTACCCATCTATCCATTGATTTAGTTGTTAGTATTTGATGGCTACTACCTGTTCCAAGTATTGTACTAGAGACACAGGTTGATAGCATCTTCAGAAAGCAGACAGTCTACAGAAGGAAAGATAACTGCCTACAGAACATCTGAAATGCCTTAGTAGCAGTTGACCTTCAGTAACTAGTACAGGAAGAGTGCCCTTGGTGAGGTTGGACAGTGAGGGTAGAATATGGCTTGGAGGTGAGCTTGTAAAGATTCCGGATGATAGGCTATGGGAAAATGGCTAGTTACAGTCCATAGGCCCACTGGACAGCTGTGCTCGGTTCAAGAAGTAGACTACAGCTATACCCAGCCACAGAGCTCTAAACATCACATGACACAGACAAAGATTTTTGGTGTATAAAGGAAGGTACCTGAACACGGGGAAGTTGTGGAAGCCTTGCTAAAAGGAAGGAAAATCACATACATAAAAAACTGTCAGAGATCAGTGACCTGAGGAGGTAAAAGTGTATGACTACTGAGGTACAGTGACATCAAAAGACAAATAGGTCAGGCAAGATGGCAGACGAAGGTGCTCGCTGCTAAGCCTGCCAGGGAGGAGTGATCCAGCTCACATAGGTTGTCCTGTGATATTTTTCCTTGCATTCATGTACACACATGCATGCACGTGCACCCAAATAAATGTAATTTTTTTAAGACTGTTGTAGTCTATGAAGACAGGATAGGTTGAGTGGGTCTGACTAGGAGCACATGGTACTACAAGGTGATTTTAAGAGGAGAAATGGACACATGTTCTGTCTGTTCCTTAGTTGTTTCACTTGAAAGAAAATGAAATGTCTAGCTTTTAGAAGATATTAAATGTTTTTAGCAAAGACCAAAAAATAAAAATATTGTCTTTATTATGTACCTTATTTTCAAACTTCTATAAAAACCAAGAAACCCCAAATTGATGCTAAATAAATGTTTAAACAAAAAGATTTCTTAACTGCTTGATTGTCTAGATAACAATTGAAAAATAACAGAAAGTATGTTATAGGTAGTGTAGTAGGACCCTGGAGAAAAGTAGAATTTTGTCCTTGTGATGTGATGAAAAGTTATCTCTCTTTGCTACTTTTCACTATTTTATGTACTGGTGAGTGGTCAGTGTTGAATATTTGTTGAAATAATACAGTACAATTGTAGAAATATATTTGTGCTAGTAGAGTGAAACCACTGTGGTCAAGTTGGCAAAGTAAAGAGTGGAGTTATTTTCCTAGCTACACATGTCAATATATGACTTTTTTTCCCTCAGTGCTGACAGTAGAGTAAAATTATGGGATGTGAGAAGAGCATCAGGATGCTTGCTTACTCTTGATCAGCATAATGGGAAAAAGTCACAAGCTGTTGAATCAGGTAATAAAGACCGTATTAACATAAAAATACAGTAATGCTTCTTGTGGTGGGTTTTCTTTTCATTGAAATCAAATAATATATATATTGACAAATTAAAAACTGATTTTTGTAAATGGCATTGACCATGAATCAGTTTGTGAATCAAACTTGATTGTGATTTTCTTTCTCCCAAGATACAAATAACTGGAAACTGCTTTTGCCTCCAAAGTTGCAGACAGAACTTTTTGTGTAACTTGGTTTAGAAATATTTTTTCTTTAAAGCAAACTATGCAAATTCTGTGCTATTCTGAAAGCTACAATAGAGTAAAGAAATAGCGATGTTTTGTGCTTTCATGTCACCATAAAAATTGCAAGTTGTGGTTAGCGGAAGTTAGGTGCAGTCCATGTGGCAATCCAGCTCAACGTGTTTCTAAGGGATTTAATTCCTGGGTAGTAGTGTTCACTCCTTCTGGACTAGAAGTGTATTAGGATACAGTGGGATGCTCCCTCTGCTTTCCTAGTGATGGGATTCCAGGCAGGCACTGCCATTACAAATCTTTAATTTGTCAAATGATTTCTAGTTTAGAGGGAACTATATATATTTCTAGTTTGAAGGGTCAAAAGATGTTTAAAGTTCTGGTATTGAACTGTACATTTAATTGAATTTAATAGCACCATTTACTTACTGAAAAAAATTATACTTAGCAAGTTTCTTTGCTGGTCCTTTTCCTCTGTATTTATGGTTCTTTTAATGTTGCTTATTTTGTGTTCACGTAATCTAAAGGTTGGTTATGGTCAAGTTATAGTTTAAGTAATTTACTAGTTATTTTTTAATGTGTTTACATATACGCTCAATACATTAAAACATAAACCAAATGTGTTTTCATTGCAGCAAACACTGCTCACAATGGGAAAGTTAATGGCTTGTGTTTTACAAGTGACGGGCTTTACTTGCTCACCGTTGGCACAGACAACCGAATGCGGCTCTGGAATAGCTCCAGCGGGGACAACACACTGGTAAGAGACTTCAAAGGGCCTTTCAGTGAACGGATTTGGACTTTGTACTTTGCTATGGATGTGACTTTATTTCTTGCCTTTGAATCACAGCTGTTAGTAAATTTTAGAAAGATGCTTTAGATGTGAATGACTAATTCTCAAGTCAAGGTAAGCCACCCACCCTGCACGCTTGGCACTCCCCGCTCTTACTGGTGAGGTAGATTTGTATGTACCTGATGCTTCTAATTAAAAGATTGAGAACTTCTAATATGGATGAAGTTACCAACTGTCAGATTTTACATTTAAAATTAATCAGTTTTTTAACCCATTCATTCTAGCTGATAATTTTCTTTAAAATTCTTGAGAGGGTCACTCTGTTTACTTATATAAATACTAGTATTTCTATGCTATATGGAGTCGTTTTTTGTCTGTGATGTGACCTCAGACCCCATCAGGAAGAGGCTTCTTCCTGCCAGGAAAGCCCTCTGCCATGAAGCTGCACACTGCAGCCTCCCTTACAATCCATGTGGAGTAGTTTTCTGTTTGTCTTAGGGTAGATTCTCGGGCACTGACTTTATACTTTAGACTCTACCATTCCTTGTATTATGTCCTAAATCAGCCACCTTCTTCTCCTTTCTCCTCATCTTCATTTAATAAGTATGTATTCAGCATTTACTTATTTGCCAAGCAATAATAATATGCAGCAATAGTCAAAGCATAGGAAAACCTGTCTGCTCTTAGGAAGCTTCCATTCTAGGAAGGATTTAAAAAAAAAATCAGTCAGTCAGTCAATGGATGAACATAAATTGAAACCATGGAAAAGAAAGAGCCTGGTATGTGTCTGCACTCAGGTGGATTTCAGGGTCAAGGCTGGGCTACCTAGTGAGTTCAGAACCAGCCTGGGCTACCTAGCAAGACCCTATCTCAGGAAAAACTCAGTAAGAGAAAAGACACTAGGAAGTTAGAGTACCTGGGTTTCATAGGGCAGTCATAAAAGGCTTAATTGGGAAGTTAATGTTTGACCTAGAGGAAAAGGGGAGTTGATCCATCAACTACTTGAGAGTTAATCTAGGGAAAGAAAGGAAACCTGTTTAAAGACTGATGTGGTAGCATCATGAATACTCTAGGAACAACTGGAAGCTCTTATGTTGACATCCATAAGCAGTAACAGGAAGTACAGATACCGAGAGCTAAGCCGTGGAGGCCTGTGTGAGGCCTAGGAGAAAGAGACAGCTAGTAAAGGCCTTTCATAGACAAGTGGCAGGATCACACTGTATCCAAGCTTCATGTGACGAATCCAGATGGTGCTGAACATATGTCCATGGCTAGAATGGTTTTACTCTTTAAAGATGGTGCTGGTGCTGTAGGGCTGTGCTAGTGAGTCCATATATAGAATAGTGAGCTTAGAATGGGTCATGGGATTTTTAATGGACATTCTCAAAGTAAGTTATTCATAAAGAGAGAACAGTGCTAACTGAGAAACTCACCTACAAAAGATACTTGAAGGGACATGAGACGTTAATCCCAGAAAAGAGAACTCTGAGGAGAAATCCTGCCTTCATCTTTGTATAGGGCTTGTCAAATCAAAAACCAAATTCCACTCCCTTCATTTAGTAATGTTGAAGTATTGGGTGATTTTTAATAACTCTTTTCAGTTTTACTGTCATGATTTTGTAAGTCATGGATATTGTCTGCCAATCAAAGAATTACAAAGTTTATAAAGTAATACTGAGCTACCAAATAGAGTACAGAGCATAAGTGGTAATTGTGGTTTTACCTTATGCAAATATGTGTAAGTATACATTTCCAATATGTCTTTAATTATAAATTATATACAAATACTGACTCTACATATTAAGCTTTTTTCCTCACACAACCATTAACGGATCCTTAATGGTTCATGATGCAATCTTCCCATGGTTTCTAGACTGAAATTTGGAGACCATGCCTTAAAGTTAGGAGCAAATTCCTGCAGGGAAAGTTCACAAGGAGACAGGTTTGGCAACAGCAACACCAACAAAAGAATGCAAAGTAGGTATTGGTGCTGTCTGTCCAGTTATTGGCCTTCTTCATCATATATGACTGATAATGTCAGGGAACTGAGCCTCTGTTCTTTGCTCACTGACACCACTATTAAGCCAGCCCCAGTGCTGTTAGTTTCTCTGTGGTTTCTTTTTCCTGTGTCTTCCAGTATCACTGCTAGGCTCACCTCTGATAATCATTCTAATATCCTAACTATTGTGGCTCCTCCCAGTGGAAGTCTTCCACTTATTCCTCCAACCTTTCCTGTTATTCAAATGCCTTCGCCTGTTGTGTAAGCCGAACATTCTAGCTCTCTGGATGTTCTGCCTCTTTCCCATTTCCCCGCCTTTAGTGTGCTTAGAGCCGCCACACTGCCTTGTCTTTCCACTCTGCTGCCCAGAGTGCTGCCTTCCCTCTAGAATATCCCTCCCATTGCTACTTCTTGGCTTTCGAAGTTTAGCTCAGGCTCAACTTGTCTTTGATTCTATTCTACCTTAGAAGCTTCCAGAATACTTTGGGCTTGTTTGTCCTTCCATGTACTATTGTCATCACTTCTTACAAAGAATGAAGATTGTTATGTAACAGAATGTTTCAGTGGTGTAGTTAGCATAGTTTAGATGCAGTGTTTGAGGTATTTGAGTCTGACTTTCACTAGCCAAGATACACTGATGGAGTTACATAGCCTTTCACTTCTTTCTGCCCTCTCTGCAGTGATGTTTCCGAAGTCTTCCGGGGTTAATGCAGGTGTCCCACATGGAGCTGAGCACACACAGCCCCTTATTTTCAGCACCTTGATGAGTTTTTTCAGTAGCTGCTGCTCACTGCGAAAGAAGCAAGGTTGAGAGCAGCACTAATCTCTGGGTATGAACAAAAATGTTTAGATGCCATATTCCTTCAGCAAAACAGTAATAGTAGGTCCTCTCAAGGAGGTATGATTTCCACAGCCATGGGCTTTTGACTGGGTTTGCAATAACAAGAGCCGCCAGTCCACTCAGGATGGCTGATGCCCCTCTGATGGTTCGTGCCGCTCTTGCCCCAGTGGGCACACTCATGGCAGGTTGGTATGGTTGCATTCAGGGATGTCACTGACTTCAGGGTTCATTAATGACCTTTCTTCTCAGCAGCCTGCATATCACCTTCCTACACTGAAAGCTTAATAGCATAATTGACATTTTGGGTTTGGTTTCTTTCTCTATGTACCACATCCAGGGCCAATAGCATCTTCAGCAATACGGCTGTACTAGTATGGTGGGCAAGCAAGAGCAATGGCTACAGCCTTGCTGTTTTAAGGGCCTTTGGGCTCTCGCTGACCATTAGCTTGTAGGGAACTAACCCACCTCTGGCAAGATTTTCACTTAACTGTGTTTTCTGTGGGAGGCATTATCCATACAGCCTTTGTGTTCTTTAACCCAGCTCCTCCTCTCCTGTTGGTTTCCCCATTCTCATTTTACCCATCAGTAATCCCCTCCTACTTTCATGTGTGTCCTGCTCTCCCCTCGCCCCTGAGGCCCTTCCCCACTTATGGGCCCTCTAGCTTCCTGAGCCACGCCTCCCCATAGTTAAATGGTACATGGTGGCTCATTTGTGGGAATGAAAGAGTGCTCTTCCTAACACGTGGAATTAGTGACTCTAGATGTAACTGGGTGCCTTCATTTCCCAGGGGCTGTCGTGTACATGATTTCCCTTGTATTTTTACAGTAACACTATTATGGTAAATGATGTCATTTCCATTTATCAGATGAGAAGAATGGAATTTAGAGGTTAAGTCTGAGAGAACTTGTAACACTTAGATTTCAGACCCCAAGTTCAGTGTTGAATGGACTGCAGCCCTGGTGTCACAGGGTGGCTGAAGGCACTAGCTCCATTGCAAGTTACACTTTCAGCGGGTCTGCCAGTCTGCTGCATTGAGTCCTCTGGGCATGGTACTCTCTGCTGCTTAATTGTTTCCTTAAAGTGCATTCTCAAGAGCAACCACTACATCAAATAAGAATGTCTTTATTGTCAGTGAGTTAGTTCTGAGAGAAGTGAAGGTTGTGCGGCCATGTTGATACTTTTCCCTCATGCACCTTAGGAACAGGGCAGCTCACCCGAAGACACATCTTCATTCCTAGTTTGTTTTATGTTAAGCCATTGTCCCTTCCTTGTTGAAGAAATAGCCAAATTATGACACCAATAACATGCTCTCCTTACTCCTCACCAGTACCAAAGGGTTCTAAAACGCTAGTCAGACCAAAGGTGGGAAGTGCAATAAGGTCAGATGTCTCATATGGCATACATGAGGCCTAAAACAAGGTAGAAAGCAAGCAGGGAGGGAAGAAGAAAAGGGGCGAGGAGAGGAGAGGAGAGGAAGATAAGATTCTACAGAGTTTGACAATGAAAATGACTCAAGTTTGTCTTTGTTGTATCATATGTCCTTTGTGGGTTTATTCACAATTTCTGTTTCCTCAAATATAAAATGTACATTTGTATCATTGGCCCTAGTTTTTATTTACATACTGGTTTCTTTATGTTTTTGTCTTTGTTGCCATTTTAACTTGGGCTTTAGCAGTGAGTAACATTATAATGTCATCCTGCAGGTGAACTACGGGAAGGTGTGTATTGACAGCAGGAAAGGGCTGAAGTTTGCTGTCTCCTGTGGCTGCAGCTCAGAGTTTGTGTTTGTTCCCCATGGAAGCACCATTGCCATGTATGCAGTCCACTCAGGAGAGCGTCTCGCCATGCTTAAGGGACATTACAAAAGTGTCGACTGCTGTGTGTTTCAGCCTAATTTCCAGGTAAGAATGATACCTAGGGGAACTTACAGTGGTTAGATGGTGGGTAAAGCAGGAAGTTGTGGTTCTGTTCTCACGTGTTACACACTTTTAATCATTCTGAAGTATGATGCCGTCAATCCACCTTTGAGCTAGTGCTTAGTTAATAGAGATTAGAGCAGCCTACTCTCTATTAGGACAGAAGTGTAAATGAATCAGTACAATACTGTGCAATTGATTGAGATTGAGTTGTCTTCCCTTTGAATACGAGCTCCATTTAACCACTGAAAGTCTTAACGAAGTCTTTTAGGTTAAATTTTTAGGTTATTTAGTTACTTCCAAAATGTATGTGTGACTATATCAAAATCTGAAAGTAATTATTTTCTGCCAGATGCTGATAGAAGTATACTTTCATAGTGGCTAGATACTGAAATGATTAGTAAAAGTCCTACCTTTTAATTAATTCAGCTCACATAGTTTCATTTATTTATTTGTGTGTGGGAGGGCACATACCATGGTATATGTACAGAGAACAACTTACAGGAATCAATTTTCTCCCTCCATCTTTGAGGTCCTGGGATCAAATTCCAGTCATCAGGCATAGCAGCAAGTGGCGTTACACACTGAGCCACCTCAGCAGCCCCACAAAATTACTTAGATACTTACATTAGTTAATTTTCCTGTTGATGTGACCAAAATGTATGACCAATAGTAACTTAATGAGGGAAGGATTTATTTGGGCTTCTGCTTAGGAGGTATACAGTTTGTGATGGCAAGAAAGGGAATTGGGCCTGCAGGGATATTTGACCTAGTCTGCGTCCAGTCAGGGAGCATAGGAAAATGATCACTGATACACTTGCTTTGTCCTGTTTGTTCTCCCCAGAACATCATCCTACTGGATGTTACCACCCCACATTTGTGCTGGGACTCCCTCAGCAATAAACCTTTCTGGAAACACTCTTGTAGACACAACTGAGGTGCTTCTTTTTTTTTTTTTTTTTTCGGTTTTTTGAGACAGGGTTTCTCTATAGCCCTGGCTGTCCTGGAACTCATTCTGTAGACCAGGCTGGCCTCGAACTCAGAAATCCACCTGCCTCTGCCTCCCAAGTGCTAGGATTAAAGGCATGCGCCACCACTGCCCAGCTAATTTCTGAGATGTTTCTATATGGTTCTAAATCCAGTCAAACTTGCAATAAAGATTGCCATAGTACTTACGAGTTTTGTTTAACATCTTTGCTTTTCTCCTTCCTATTAACTATGGATCAGACTTTTTGGTTTTGGTATGTGTGCATGGTATATATTCACATGTGCACATGCCTATGTACATGCATGCAAGCCAGGGTTGGCCATCAGATGGTCTTCTCTGTCACTCTTCGCCCTGGTTCCTTGAGACAGGATATGTCACAAAACCTGAAACTGGGCTGGCTGTCAGCAGTCTTCTGTCTCATCCCCTGACACCCAGTGCCTGCTTACCAGTGTGTGTCACCACACTTAGCTTTCTTTACATGGTTCTGGAGCCTTGAGTATAATTCTTCATGCTTCTTCCATAACAGCCTGCTTATTTATTTTCTTGGCCTCAGCCAGGGGTGTGTCTGTATGTGTTTTGGGTGATGGTGTTTTGTTAAAATGTATGATTAATGATATATCCTGATGGCTGGTAAATAACTACTATACCAGTTCCCTCTTTGGACTTTTTCTTAGAACTCTTTAGCAACTCCACAATAGTTCTGCACAGCATCTTCAAGGGGGCTTCCAAAGACCCTACTCCATTCTGAAGCTAGTGTCTTTCCTGACTAGTCAGTATACTCATATAATAGGTTGTTTTGTTTGTTTTGTTTTGTTTTTGAGAAAAGATTTCTAAAGTAACAGAGATATAATGTGACTGGCCCCAAACCTAAAAGTTGATGTTAGCAGTGCATGGTTCTCTATTCAAAGAGATTTTTCATCTGAATGATCAATGAAAACAGTCCCTCTGAGACAACCACGATTTTAAATACGATATTCTGATTATAAAGTACAACTTTGTTCTAGGCAGGAGCTTCTTAGACAGGGCTGAGAGTCAGTTAAGATGACACCAGGGTGAGCTGGAGAGATGACTGCAGTTAAAAACGTTTACTGCGCTTCCAGAGGACCTGGGTTCCTTTCCCAGCACTCATGGCAGCTCACAGTCTTCTGTAACTCTGGTTTCAGGGAATCTGAAGCCCTCTTCTGGTCTCTTCAGGTACCATGTACATGCACGGTTCACATACATGCATATAGGCAAGACATTCATATGTACACACATACATATTAAATAAATAAATGAATGAATGAATAAATAAATAAATAAATAAATAAATAAATAAATAGGTGAACAAGCATTGCCTAAGCTGGGTGTGTTAGCACAAACACTGGTAATCCCAGCATTCTGGATTATTGTCAAGAATTTAAAGTTGACCTGGGTTACATAGCAAGGTCAAAGCTAGCTTGGGCTATAGTGTGAAACCTTACCTCAAAAAAACAAAAACCAAACCAAGACAGAGCTTGCTCTCGGTTTCTGAGCAGCCAGACATCTGGTATGGGCTGTCACCTGTGAAATGCTCTGCCTGTGTTGTGATGTTCTGTTCTACTTTGTTTTTTGAAACAAGGTCTCATATAAACCAGGCTAGTCCCAGACTTGCTATGTAGACAAGAATAATCTCATACTCCTGATCCTCCTGCCTCTACTACTCATGCGCTGGGATTACAGTCATGTGCCACCACTCCCAGCCAAATGCCATGTGTTTATCTACTTCAAACTTAGACTGAGTCACTGAACACATCAGAAACACGATATATTTATTTTACTGCATGATGAGAACATTTTCAGTTTTGTTGGTGAAGGGAGTGTTGTTCAGTGGAGAGCAAACAGTATGTCTATAAAGACATTGACACGACTGTACCTCAGCCCATGGGTCCTTCTAGTCAGTAAAGGTCTCAGCAGACAGGATTGGGTCTTGAAGCTCTTGTGAAGAGCAGCCAGGTAGACAGCTGTAAGCCAATGGATCTTTTCATAGAAACCCTTGGTTTCTTCATTGGAGTCTTTATTGTAGATGGCTCGGTTTTTGCCAAAGAGAAGCTATTATACATTTTACTTTCCCTAACACTTGAAATATGCTTATAAGTATTGACAGAACTACCTAAAGCATTGAATTTCTGTAGGATTTTCCCACTTGTTTGTAAACTCTGACATATCCTGATACGATTTTAAAGTAAAAAATAAGCTTCATACTATAACAACTATTCCTATAAAGATCTCAGTAGGACAGTGGGGTCAATTCTCTCATCTATAGAATGTACAAATTGGTATGAAATCTCAAGATAGAGACAAAGGCTTTTAGCATTTTTACAAAGTTATGCCAACATCATGCACAAAATTTAAAGGCATCACATTTTTAAAAAAAAATGAAGGGCATCATATTTTGTTTAATGAATAGAAATTAAATTAGTGGAATTAATCTAAATTAACCTGCTTAATCTAATCATTTCAAAACTTGATACAGCTCATTTCAGCTTTAAATTGATCAGTCTTTGTTTTCTATATTACAGGAACTTTACAGTGGGAGCAGGGACTGCAATATTCTTGCTTGGGTACCAGCTTCATATGAACCAGTTCCTGACGATGATGATGAAGTAAGTGGTGCTTTTACCAACTGTGCAGTGACTTCTAATTATGAGCATTAGTGTCTTATTTATGTGGGAGAAGCTGTTAAAACACTTCTTGAAGTTTTCCAGTTGTATAGTAATTTATTATCATACAGCTATAAAAATTTAGAAAAACATTAAAAGAACATATAATTTCTCTATTTTAATTAATGAATGCTGTATTTACTGCTTTGAAGATAGTAGTTAATTCATCGTCATATAATTTAGAGTCTTCTCTCAGACACATGCTACAGTAACCCTCATTTGTCATTAGTAACTATTTGAAAACTTTTTTGTTGTTTTTTTGTTTTTTATTTTTTGAGACAAGGTTTCACTGTGTAGCCCTGGCTGTTGTGGAACCTACTGTGTAGCACAGGCTGACCTCAAACTCACAGAGATCCACCTGGCCCTGCCTCCTGAGTGCTGGGACTAAAGGTGTGAGCCACCATGCCCACCTACTATTTGGAAACATTTTTAATGCTTTAGTATTCTGTCATTTATATGTCATAGTTTAGATGTTTAACTGTTTCTGTTGATTATTTTAAACAACATCAAAATAAATTATTCTCTGAAGTTGTTTATATTTCTAACTAGTTTTAGGATAGAGTTCTAGAAGTAGTCCTAAAGTATCTCCTGTTACTGTTTGCTTGCTTCCTGTGTGGCTTCAAGCCAGCAGGAAACAAGTGCCCAATACAGTGAATCTTCTCTGCTCTTACGTGGGGAAGGAGGGAGGTGTGAGCATTTGCCCATGTCTGTTTTCTGGCAAGATCCACAGTTTAACAAGATTGACAAGTGGGCAGAAGCCCTGGTTCCTCTTTAAGTGGTAATGCCATACAACTTTCCTGACGCTTTCAAGTCACCTAATGGTATTTGTCTAAGGTGATCTTGCAGTGACACATCCAACCGGCATTACCTTGTCCTCCAGAATGCTTGTGGTGCCTGCCTCGCAGCTATGGCCCCGGCTCAAGTAACTGGATCTTCCTTAGTCTGGATGGCAGACTCTTCCCTGTGGACTGGAAAGAGCTGGAGTTAACTTTTGAGTTGTAGTGTAACTTTTTTTTTTTTTTTTTTGGTTTTTCAAGACAGGGTTTCTCGGTGTATCCCTGGCTGTCCTGGAACTCACTCTGTAGACCAAGCTGGCCTCGAACTCAGAGATCCACCTGCCCTTGCCTCCCAAGTGCTGGGATTAAAGGTGTGTGCTTCCACTGCCTGGCTTGAGTTGTAGTGTATGACTCTTAATATCTGTCTGTTCACATGTCAGATTCTGTCAGTTGACACTTGGATCTGCAACCTCAGTGCCTATCTCGGATAATATGACAGTGTGACTAAAAAGCCTTAGATGAAGGTGTTACACAGAGGTGAAAGGCTGGAGTTCTGCTCTGAGGCAGTGGCCTCTCTTACTTTACATTACAAAAAGCAATAGATTGATAAAATAGTGTTTTTAAACTGGGCACTAGTGTGATAATATCCTAAGGACCTTCTGCTGGTAGGCAATAGGAGAATTACCTACCATCCTACTATAAACTAGCAGGCATTGAGTGGCAGGAACAGGCTTAAGTGTGATGGTCTTTAAACATGAATTCTGCTATGTAATTGAACATGTCTAAGATGTCATCTATTTCAGGAACTTTTCTGGAAAGTGGTGTTAAGCATCCCCACTTATCCTAACTTGAAGGATATAAAAATATGAATTAAATAATTTGGTATAGTTTTTTTTTCTTATAAGACGGAGGAAGCTCTATAGGTAATTCAAAGCAACTTGAATAGAAACGGAAGGAAATAACTAATCAAGCAAGTCTGACATTCTGAAAATATGTTTCATATTCTTAGTTCCTTTAATAAAAAGAGGGCCATGTCAGAAGACACCAGAAACAGAGCTTTACATGAATAGTAACCTTAGCAGTGTCTAGTAGCTATTAGCCAAATATAGTTTCTATCTGAATTTGTTACCAGTATAGCCAGTGTGAAGCCTGGAAGTTATTTTCTTTGGACCTTAAATCAGATGAAAGAGAGAAAGGCATGTTCATAAATACCTAGGCCACAGACCAAAGTCAGGTTAAGTGTGTCCGGATCTCATCACATGTCTCAGATGGCTTGATTATTTTTACAGCCTCTTTGGATGACTAGATTTTGAATAGTTTGATTTAGACATTTATTTTGCACTTTTACTTAATTATTTTGTCCTGCTTTTGAAGAATCACTCTGTGTGTGTGTGTGTGTGTGTGTGTGTGTGTGTGTGTGTGTGTGTGTGTGTGTGTATTTTATAGCTTTGGGTCATGTTGGGAACTATAACAACCATTTGACAAATTAAAATAATAAAAATAAAGCTACTGTGATAAATCACATAGAAATAACAATTTTAGAAGAGAATTAAGTAGCTTGTTATACTTTGTAACTGAACGCTCATTTATCTCTTTGCTAAATAGCTGTGGTGACAGTTTGGTTATCTCATCTAAAGCAACTCTTACATGTGGAAAATGCAGACCAACAGAAACACCTGTGTGGAGCACAGGCTTGTGATCCCAGTGCTTCAGAGGCTGAGGCAGGGGTCGGGAGGGGGCTGAGATGGAGGCCAATCCCAGCCAACATGATGAAGCCCTATATCCAAGATGAAATGAGTTGAGCTTTATGTTTAAGTGTTAGAGCTATGAAGCCTTAATCTTTTCAGATGCACCACTGCCAGCCAGAGAGATGGTTTGGCAGTTAGGAGTGCTGACCACTTTTCTAGAGGACCTGGGTTCACTTCCCAGTACCTAAACAATGGCTCACAATCACCTATAACTACACTTCCAAATTGTCTCATGCCCTCTTCTGGCATCTGCAGGCACCAGGCATGCTGATGGTGAACAGGCATATATAAAGGCAAATATCCATACATGGAAATAATTTTTTATTTTTGATCAAATACTAATTTTTATTAAAAATAAATTTTCAATAAAAACAATAAAATAAGCCAGGTATGGTGGTACATGCCTTTAATTCCAGCACTTGGGAGACAGAGGCAGGTAAATCTCTTGAGTTCAAGGCCAGCCTGATCTACAGAGCAAGTTCCAAGACAGCCAGGACTATACAGAAAATCCTGTTTTTAAAAACAATAAATAAATAAATAAATAAATAAAATATACTGTTCCTATTTTAAACTTTAAGGTCTGAATAACTCTCATTAATGTAAAGTGCTATATCTATGAAGTGTTATTTTCAAAGATTCATATGAGGTAGAATATATATACCTCAACAGAGAAGTCAGTTGGAAAGAGAACTGGTTGCATATGTGGATGTTTACAATTTAGCTCATGTTTTTCCCTGAGCTGTTAAATGAGTAACTTGCCATTTCCCAAAGAGGCCACGTATATGGCTCAGCATAACACAAAGAACATACATACACACACACTGCTTCCTCCTGAGTGCCAGGCAAACCTAGGTCAGACCTTGTTCTGCCCTGACCAGCTGTTACCCGGGGACAACTGTAGCGTTTTCAAATACACGTATCAGATTGTCAAGCCAAAGTTGTTCTTAGATTTCCATTCAAACCTAAGCAGAATGCCTGAGGGGTGTCTCTCAGATGTTAAAGGAGTAATTTAATTCTACCTATAGAAATGAAAAGACCTTAGATGACAGGAATATGTTTTATGCTCTTTAGATCCATTGTTTAGTTGGCAGGCTGTTGTATTATATCTAGAGAATCTATCTGTTTGGTTTACCCAGACTTTCTAATTGGCCAAGGTCAACTCAAGCCACTCTAACTCCTAAGTACCTTTTGCTGCCAGAGATGTATCTCAAAGATACATCACACCCTTAATCTTCTAGAATCCTACTTCCAGCTGAATGTGCCTACTCATTGCTGCAATCTTAGCACCCAGGGGACTGAGACAGCTTGGGCTACAAAAAGCAGGATTCAGCACCCTGCCCTTCCACTCCCACCCCCAAATTGACATTGGCACAGGAAATGGCTGTTTCTACTTTGCACTTGTATGGATGTATCACTAGCTGACATGGAAAACTCTGAGACTTTCCAGTAACACCAGACACTTGAAACTTTGTGCGATGTATCCTTGTGATGCTGTTTTCAGCCTTATGTTTTGATCCTGGGCTGGGTATCATCCTCATAACATGCATAACTGTCTGTAGAACCAGAGACCTGGTAAGGCAGAGGGACGGTTGTTCATGTACAGACTCAGTGTCCACTAGGAGGAGATGTTGTAGAGAAAACCAGAGTGGAAGACCATCAACTAGTGATGCATGTATTCAATCCACCTGCAGGGTCATTATCGCAGCTCTTGGGATGGTGTTTTATTTGTGATTGTTTTAGCAATACAGTAGACTGGTGGTATTGTAATGTGTTCCAAATATCTGTGTTTACTACTGTAAGTAATAAGTATTTGTACAAATATGTCGAAATCTTGGTTATTTTTGTTTCTATGTTTACCAAAGAAAAATAATTCATAATGAAATACAAATGTGTTTTTCTGTTGAATCTTCAACAGAAATGAAATGAAATGAAAGTGATTAGTAGACTGTACATTGGGCCTTCATAATGGAATTAGAACACATGAGCTTTGTGTAGCTTTTATTTCCCAAGGATGTTTTTGGTAGCTATCTGAGGCAGAGTTAAAGGTCTAAAGAAAGGAGGGAATTGTCACCCCATGCCCAAGTATACATGGTGCCTCTGAGATGGAACTCTTTCTCGACAGCCTAGTGTAGCAGTTACATTGTCAGGCTCCGAGTGGGAAGTTTACAGACATGTCTCATCACACCCAGCTTACAATATCACCCCTGATGGAGGTCATGTTTGAACTGTAAGGAATTATCCCTGTTAATCCATCATCATCAGAATAAACAAACATTTGGATCACAGAACAAATGAAGAGATATCAGGCCTTCGTTACTGCTGGCTGGAAATGAGCGATTAGCTGGAGTTTGGTTATAGTTTTATATCAGACGTTTGGAGACAAGTGTAAAGAAATTTTGTACTTCTTAGTAGTGATAGCCACTAAGTTTAGCAATATACTCTGATCTATTTTACAAATGTGCAGCATGCCTATATCACAATATATTTTCTAGCTAGTCTATCTGATGTGGAAACTTACTGGAAATACTGGCTTTTCCATTTGAATTGTAAGATTCTGTCTTGTTGATCCTAAAGGAAACAATGTTCTTAGACATAACTTAGGAGTATTTACCCTTCACAGAAAATGTTTTTCTACATTAGAAAAGGCATTGTATTGTATCTAAGATAATTTAACACTAAGCTTGCAATTTGTTTAGCTATTGAAATTTGGATCAGATCAAATATCCAGATGCAAAGCTGCAGAATAAGAAACAGACCTGATTCCTAATTGAAGAAAAATGATCATCTTTTAAGCCCTTTGAAGGGATTTCCCAGAGATAAGAAAGTTAGCGCTCTTGGTTTCCATACAAGTAGATTGATAATTAACAACTGAATTGATAATTCAGTTAATTAAAATTTTTCCAGTTGTTAAACCTTTTTCACCTATGCCTCTAGGATGGAAGAATGTTATAAGTTTTTGCAGTTTTGAGTAAAGAGCTCAAATAACTTTTAGAGAAATCTCCCAGGGAAACCTCCATGCTAATTATTAACCTTGTTACCGTGTCTCTTGGAGTTCCCCTGTGCTTTGACACTGTTAGCTATAGCAAACAAAGAGACATGGCTATGTAATAACCCACAGTACTTTTTTATTATAAATTTTGTTATTCAGCTGGGCTTGGTGGCCACATGTTCATTATCATCCTAACCCTCAGGAGGATGAGCAGGGGGCTTGCCACAACTGACAGCCAGCTGAGCTACAGAACTGTAGTGAGTGGGGCTGAGGAGATGGATGGCGCAGTGATTAAGAGTACTGCCTGCTTTTCCAGAGGACATGGGTTAGATTCCCAACACCCACATAAGGGTTCACAACCCCTGTAACCCCAGAACTGTAATGAGCTTTGGATCAGCCTAGACTTCAAAGCAAGACCTGTCTCAAAAGAGGGGTGGGGGAATTACATTATCCTCACTGATAAAAATATTCTTCTAATTTTGGTATTTTTTATTTTTAGTAGTAAAGTTCATCCAAACAACACAAAGTTACCAGCACTTGTGTGCTGGACTGTGCCATCTGCTGTCTGCATGTGTCCTGTCTTAATCCCAGCTTGTCAGTGTTGTACCTTTTCCACAGAGTTGCAGACACTGTGAGCTGTGTCATTGTGTAGATCTGTGCAAGGGCTTGTGAGGAGGGGAAGCAGGTTATTTGGGAAAAGTCAGCTTTGTCAGTTTTAAATGAATTTACATTATCTTTACATTACTTTTGTTTTTAAATTAGCAGTAATACAGTTTCCAAATAATCTAATTGATGTTAATCTAGCATATTTCATAATGATTATGAGGCTAAAATTATGAAATACATAAAACAGATTCTCCTCTCTTTTTCAGGCTCCAACCAAATCCCAGTTGAACCCAGCGTTCGCGGATGCCTGGAGCAGCAGTGACGAGGACGGGTGACTGTCAGTCCAGTGCCTCGGCTCTTGGCCCCTCGGACTTCCAGGGCAGTGCTGTGTGTACTTCCGCACGGGGTGTCCTTCCTATTATTGTTGTTTGAGACAGTGTCTCGCTGTGTAACCCTGCCTAGCCTGGACTAGCCTGGAGCTCTGTATAGAGCAGACTTGGCTCACACTTGCAGCCGTTCTGCCTCTGCTCCCAGGTGCTGGGGTTAGAGGTGTGTACCACGTGGCCCCTTCTGTGCGTGTATGTGTTTGTTTCATTGTTTTTAAAACTTTTTAGACAGTTTCTAGCCTGTTAATCCTGAATTTGGGGTATTTCCCTCTGTTTTAAAATGAGATTAATATTTATAAAACCCTGAAATACACTTTTCTATAGGATAATTGATCAAAACTTGTCTCCTGGAGCTCATTTACCAGGGTGGTGCGCCAGCCCCCATGGGCACAGCACAAGAACACAGTCATTATCCTCAGCCAGGGCCTTATGGGCATCACAGCAGCTTAAAGGTGTGGTCTCAGAGGAAGGTGTCAGCTCGGACTATGCTGTCAGAAGTGTCAGTATTTAAATACTTGAACATACAAGAGGCCATGAGGGACATTTCACATTCACTGAAACACTCCACCACTGGTCCCAGTAGGTTCATGGCCACCTCATAATGCAAAATACATTCAGTTCAACTTCAAAAGTCCCCATACTCCTTCAGATCCAACACTTGGAAACTCCAATATCTCCTCATTCCTGTAGAATAAACAGGTAACCATTCCCATTCCAATGCAGAGGTGTGGAGCTGTAACATGGAAAGACTGGACCAAAGCAAGGCACAAATGCAGCAGAGGGAAGGAAACTCAAGTTCCATGTCTGCACCTGGGCCTATCGTGGCATCTTGGCTTCAACAGGCTCAGCCCCATGCTTCAAATCTGTTGCTGGTAGCACACATGGCCTTTCTCAGAGCAGTTCCACCCAGTGCCTGGACCTTCCTTTCCTCAGTAGGCATGTCATACCTCTGACACCTGCAGTATCCTGGGGTCTCCACGGTAACTTAGACTTCACCTTTACAATTCATGCGCAGCCTACTCGGGAGTTCCATGCAAGGAATCTGGCCTACCTTTGGTGGCTCGTCTGGAATGTTGGTGCAAGCTTCCATGATACATAACTTGCACTTTGCAGGGCTGGAAAACTACACTACATAGAAAACACCAAGTGCTGCTGTCCTTTCCAGATGTAGTCTAGCACTCTTCAGGCCATGGCTACAGCAGTGTCCATGTGATCTCGGAAAAACTCTTCTCTGGGCTCTCACTTTGAGACTGTAGAGATTCTCTCACTTCGGCCCCCTTTGCTTTCTGATGGGCTTTCATGTTTATGTACTGGGACTCAGACCAGTGGGGCTTTACCTTCCTGGCTGTCGGAAGTACGAGGTTTCTGAGGTTTCTTTCTCTTTTCTGTTGTTCATCTTACAACTAGACCTGCTCTGCCCACACTCACCCTGCAAGTTTAAGCTCATTCATGCTGCTTTCTTACCTAAGAAAGAGTTAATTATTCTATTATTATGTAGATTTATCATCATTCTGCTTTCTTACTGTAAAGTTAATCTGGGCACTGAGCAGTAACCATCCCACAGCCTGTGTGCTATGCTGTCCCAAAACTTCCCCCACAGATCAGTTTATTCTAAATTCAGCCTCACTCAGCTTATCAGGACATGGGTGAATGTAACACAGGCCTCTAGTTCAGCTCCAGATTGGGCCCTTCTTCCCTTTGGACTCAAAAGCACCTCTCTTGGTGTTTTTCTGAGCTCTGGCTAAAATGGCCCAATAAGGGTACTTATAACATTCAGGATGTTCTTTATTCTTTAACCCACAATTCTAACATCTTTGTCTGGCAAATTAGTCCCAAAGCTTGGAGAACACATCAGATTTATCGTAGCAACAAGGCTACTCCATAGCACAAACCTTACACTCAGTGCCAGTTTTTTTTTAAAGGATTTATTATGTGTATTGCGTGGACATGTGCAGGTGAGTGCAGATTCCTGTGGAGCCCCCAGTGTCTGATCCCCATGGAATTGTAGTTATAGTATGGATGCTAAGAACTAAACTTGGGTTCTCTAGAAAAACAGTACTGAGACATTTCTCCAGCCCCATGTTTTCTTTGTTATTTCATTTTCACACAGTGACCAAATAACTGACAAGAAAAAAATAAAAAAGCAAGAGGAGGAAGGATTGATTTAGTTCATTAAAGCAAATGAACTTAGATGATTCAAACCTTGCCAGAGATGGAACCACGGAAGCCTGGCACACTGGGAATTTTGCCTTTCAGAGAGTGTACCAGAAAAAGCTAATCACAGAAAGAGCAAGCACTTTGCCTGGCACTGTGTCCTAGACAGGATGGTTACAGCAGGCCTGGGGTAGAGAGGGACTGAATACTGGGAGTGAGTATTAGATTGCTAGCCTATAGTTAACAGTTCAGTTGTGGATATGGCTTTTCTTTTTGTGTGCAAGGGTTTGCCTTTGGTGTTTTGTGGAGACATGGGGCTGGAGAGGTAGCTAAGAGTTCCACATCTGGATCTGCAGACAGCTGGAAGAAAGCCTGTAGGCTTGGAATGGGCTTTTTGGAACCCCAGAGTCTACCCCTAGTGACACACTTCCTCCGTCAAGGCCACACTTCCTTATCCTATAGTGCCACTCTCTGGTGACCACTATACAAATCTTTGAGCCTGCGGGGGCCATTCTCATTCAAACCACCACACTCAATCTGGATTCCAGCTCTGGATCCTGCAACCTTAGCTTCCGAGGTGCTGAGATTGCAGACATGCACCTCCATGCCTAATCCTTTTTTGCAAAGAACATTTGAAGTTTCTTCTTTGCTACCTTGAATGGCTGTTAAATCTCCTTGACTTCTAGAATTTTAACAAGTTGTGTAAAGAAACATTTTTTGAGATGTAACCCAGGTTGTCCTGCAACTTGCGTTATGACCCAGAATGACCTGGAACTCCGATGCTGCCAATCCTGGAATCACAGGCATGTGCCATCACACCTAGTGTATGTGTTGCTGATATCAAACCCAAGGCTTCTTGCAATCAAGGCAAATGCTCTCCCAGCTGAGCTTTTATCTACTCCCTGCAAAATAAACATAACCTGTCTCTATAGTTGTGTCTGAAATCGCTTCAGATATAGGGAACATGGTTCTTTTCCTGCTGTGTGTTTCTAATCAGGTAACTGACAACTCAAGAGAGGAAAAGAAGGTAAGCTGTCATGATCTATCAGTGTTCTTTGTGTCAGAATCAGCAAGTCAATGTCCTGCACCCTCTTGATGCTCTTGGAAACTCCTGTAGCTTTTGCACTAATGTATAGATACAGTTTTCCTCGTTCATGCTCTGAGGGTGAAGAGGGTGTCACAGCCCTAACTAGACCTGTTATTTGGTCATTATATCGGTTACATCAATGTGTGAGGCTGGGTTCCTCAAGCTTGTGCTTTGAGTCTGTGTTTGTCAGTGTTTACTGTGTAAACTGCAGAACTAGAGAGTGGCCCTAGGCCTGACTGGCGGTTTTGTTTCCTTGCCTCTGGTAGTCACCCCTGGAAAACAACCGACTCAACGATTTATACACGTCACTTCTCTTTGGTTTGTAGTATTCTTTGTGGCATGGGTTAGCAATAGCCCTAACCTAAGGCCTGTTGACATCTTGGGCAAACAGCAGCCACCTATGACTCGGGTTCTAGCTCCAAAGTTTCCCTCCCTGTCACATGATGCTCCATCAACACCCCTGTGTGTATCAATAGTTTCTAAATAAACACATCACTCAAAGCTGTGCTTAAAGAATTCCTAATGAATCCGGGAGTTGACTTAACCATTTTTATCACTATTACAGTGTTGTGGTGTTTTCCTATTTGTTCTTTTTTGTTTGTTTGTTTGTTTGTTTGTTTGAGACAGGGTTTCTCTGTGTAGTAGTTCTGGCTGTCCTGGAACTCACTCTGTAGACCAGGCTGGCCTCAAACTCAGAAATCCACCTGTCTCTGCCTCCCAAGTGCTGGGATTAAAGGCGTGTGCCACCACTGCCCGGCTTCCTATATGTTCTATGTACAAGGTTTTGTTTTTTTTTAAAAGACATCTTTTAAAGATTTATTTATTTATTTAATGTATGTGAGCACACTATAGCTGTCTTCAGACACATCAGAAGAGGGCATCTGATCCCAATACACATGGTTGTGAGACACCATGTGGTTGCTAGGAATTGAACTCAGGACTTCTGGAAGAGCAGTCAGTGCTCTTAACCTATATTAGCATTTCCATAAATACTATCGAAAGAAGTGAGGGGACTGCAGAGAGTGGTCTGCAGTTAAGAGCATTTGTTATTCTTTGAGAGGGCCTGAGTTCAGTTCCCAGCCCCTACATTGGAAGCTCACAACCACCTGTAATACCAGCTCCAGGTGATCCAGAGCTGTCTGTCTGCTTGGACACTCGCACATACATGGTGTAATGCACACAGACACCAAATAAAAATAAATACTTAAAATCACTAGATTGCTATAGAAATTGAAAACTATTAACATTACTTTTTAAATCATAACTGATCCATCAAGAAAGAACAGGTAACTAGATGTAAGAAGGATTTGAAGGCCAGCCTGAGTACGAAGTAGGGTGGGCTAGACTGGGGCGGGGGGAAGGATTAAACAAGGAAATAAAGTCAGATGGTCTGAGGCTTAGGTTTGATGTTATACCAGGAACAGGAACTAGATGATTCTTACAACCTTTCTATTATATTCATTGGCTTAAAAACTAGGTCAGAAAACTAGAATAGAAAATTAGTAAAACTCATTCTATTTCTAAAATCACTCATTGTGAGATTTAAAAAAAACATTTAAAATGGTATTCAGTGTGAAAGGCATAAATAGAGGTTTATATTCACGAATAATTAAAGTTCATTGAAGGTAAGGGTGAAGGAATTGGCTTGCTGAATGAACACTGAATCTGAACCTCCAACTCTCCTCCCCTTCTCTCTTTCTTTCTCTCTTTAGGGGTGGGGATAGAGGATTGGTGGTCATGCACACGTGTATGAGTAGGTGCACACATGTATGAATAGGTGCACACATGTATGGGTAGGTGCACACATGCACACATGTATGAGTAGGTGCACACATGCACACATGTATGGGTAGGTGCACACATGCACACATGTATGAGTAGGTCACATGCACACATGTATGGGTAGGTGCACACATGCACACATGTATGAGTAGGTACACACATGTACACATGTATGAGTAGGTACACACATGCATACATGAGTAGGTGCATATATGCACACGTGTATGAGTAGATGCATACAAGTATGAGTAGGTACACACATGTATGAGTAGGTGCACACATGTACACATGTATGAGTAGGTGCACACATGTATGA